ACTAGGCCATAGGAATTTTTTGGCTCCATTATAGTCTTATGGGCCCACGTAGTATATGTGGTCAGTCATTGATCAGAGCATCGTACGGCACATGACTGTACGGTTAGCGACCCCAGCTGTCCCTCCTCTACTTAGTTTCTGATTTCTTTTTCTCACACACCCATGTATCTTAATGTTGTTATTATAGGTGGTCTCATGTCGCTTTTTTAGAAGTAGGCAAAGTATAAACAAACAAGGTCAGTAGCTCAGCGGACATTGGGATGCTGCTCAAGTCTTTGGAATCTGGTCTGAGAGAATTCTGGCTTTTCCCCTTTTAACCTTGGTCCTCTTCCTGCTGTCGCCTGATGTAGTTATAGGGACAGTTCTCTCCTTGTTCTCTTCCAGTTGCTGCTTTGTGACCCTCTGATCATTTGCCACATGGGGTCTGGATTATATGTGGTATCAGAGTTGAGACATCATTTCCTTGGCCAGGCTGCCTTTCAGGGGCATGGAGCTAAAACTGAGCTAGGCAGCCCGTGTCAGGTCAGGGACGAAGCTGCCCATGGCTGTGGCCACAGTGCCGACCGGCCGCTTATGCTGGTGGTTCTGCCTGTGGGACTCGTCAGGAGCCTGTGATACGAATGAAAAGATAGGAGTGCCCAGCTTCTTTCTCACTCAGGGCCCAAGTAGTTTGGCTGTCCCAGCTTTGTACCTCATTCTCTCGGGCTGGTATCTGGAACTTTACAGTCCAGAAACTGTACAACAGCAATTTGCACCACTGCCCTCATAATCCCGCCTGGATTTGTATCTGCCCGTAGCTGCAGACACCCTTGCTGGTCATTACACAGGGGATGTGTGTTTACCTCCTCCTCAAGGTAAAATTCTAAACATCTTTCCAGATGCTGAAGAAGGAAGAAGCAATCCCGTGGCCTGGAACCTTAGCCATTGTCCATTCCTACATCGCCTACAAAGCAGGTAAAGAGTTACCCGTACGCGCGCTGTGTCATCTTCCCTTGCGTAAAAAAACAAAAGAGTACTGGAAGTAAGTATTTGCTTGGTTTTAAAAAGGAAATTTAACGTTAAAAATGAAAAGCTTCTAGTGACTGAAGTGGAAGATTGTGTAGCACTTTCTTGGGAGGAAGAATGAGAAGTAGATCTTGTTCATATGAAGCCAGGCTGAAGCCCCTGACCATCTTCCTAGCAAGTCTGTGCATGGACAGGGGAAGGGGAGTCCTGTGCACTGGCCGGGGGCTCGGGGAACTTTGGGGAGAATATCTTCTTTGGCAAACATTCTCAACACTGGCCTTTTCCAAGAATTTATTGTTAAAAACAGTTCTTTTTTTTTTTTTTCAGCTAAAGAAGAAGAGAAACAGAAGTTACTTAAATGGAGTTCAGATTTAAAACAGGAACGAGAACAGCTAGAGCAGAAGGTGAAACAGCTCAGCAGTTCTATAAGTGTAAGTGAGCCTCCTGCCTTCGGCGATAAAGCAGACAGAGCTTCCGTGCACATAGCAGCTCCTGCGGCTCCCAGGGCTGGTTCCAGTCCTTTAGCTCTTAACACAGCTGACTGGGGCAGAAGGAAAGCTTGCCTCCAGTTAGAGTTGGCCCTCAAGTACGGGGGCCCGTTGGTATATGGTGCCTTAGCCACGCTCTGGAACAGCCTCTGGGTTTGGGTCTGAGAGCAAGCATTTTCAGTCTCCTGGCCGCAGAGGTAGATTAGAAGCTACAGCCGTGTAGCCACCACCCCGTGCATCCTAAGCATGTTTGGGGGGAGTGTGGAGCCTGACCTGCCAACAGACAGGTGCAGACCAGCCCCGCATCTGCGTCCTTCTAGTCGCCCGAGCTAGTGAGTCCGTCCACCTGGCCCGTCTCTTCCACTCTTTCTTCCCCACCGTGCTGTTTGCGTTTCCAGGTTTTCCTGACCAGCCTGAGGAAGAGGGGTTTCTAGAGACAAGTGTGGAAGTAAATACTGCCCAGCCTGCCGTGTCCAGGTGGGAACGAGAGTTGTACTTGTAACCGAGATTCAGAGGCTCCGCCCGGCGGGCAGGTTCTCTTCCGCTGAGTAGGTGCCTGTCGGAGTGAGGGGGCCTCGCCCTCAGACACTGGGTGGTGTCCCGGACTTGGTGACGGTCGAGCTGTCCCACTCACCTGCTTTCGTCCCTCCCCACCGTCCTCCCCATGGCATGCAGGT